AAGGTTGTCTATGTAACCAACAAGTTACAAGGTTGTCTATCTAACCAACAAATGATAAGGTTGTCTATCTTGATTTTGGTTTGTTTATTCAAATCATATTATACATTTACAAACATCTAAATACATCTGGAACATACTTTTTTCACTTCAAAGGGATTATGGAATGAAGATCTGGTAATAAATTGCTGTTATAAATAATACGCTAGATGTTGAAAAGTTATTTTTAGATTTCCTAAGTTTGTTCGTTGGTTTCAGAAGTTCTTCCTTAACTACCAACACATTATATGTACTTGTATATATATAAGAATTGCTCTCCTATCAGTACTTACTCCGTTTTCTGTAAGTTCCGAAATCTAGAACTTTTTATCGAAGAAAAAAAAACTGGTTTGCTTTATTTTATGTAGGGATTTCAGGAACAACAATCTAACTAGTTTACCTGATGATGCTTTCAGGAACACCTTGGCATTGAGAGAATTGTAAGTAAAAAAAAATGTATTCATTTTTGTATGTTTACTAACATGATAGTATTTGTTTAATGAATAATTTGTTATCCTAATATTTTAATTCACCTTTGGCACTTTTGGTATCCAATACAGTAAAATAAGATCCATTTCGACATCTTTGAAATGCAAAGCAATTAAAAACAAGATTAAGGATTTTCTTTTTATTAAGTTATGAGTGGAATTACTTTGAGTTTCCATGGCAATTGTCAATGCACAATGACTTCATCAAACGGTTTACGCAATGTTGATTAAAAAACTCAGCCAATATTTTTTCTGATATCCACAACCCCCTTCCCCCCCTATTCCCCCTCAAAAAAAAAAAAACCCAAAAAAACGACGAAAATATCCGGCTATAACGTTTTGTAAGGACACAACAATGCTACAAATATTGATATTTGATATAATTTGAAACAGCATAACAGCAGTAAATGCAGTTGTGCGATGTTCAATTTTATCTCGGTATTGCCTTCGAAATATACCATTTTAACAAACTAACCCTAGGAAAATTGAGATGGTTTTAGAGTACATGTATTTGTTTCTGATGCAAAGATCTTATGAGTGAATTAATATTAATTCCAAAGTATGCCATCTTTAATGACCTTACAACAGTACCTTAACTATATCCCTTTCTGAATAAGTCTGTTTAAAGGTTTGATTAGCTTTTGAGCTGAATGACGACTTTTTTGTGCTTTGTATAGAATATAAGCATAAAATACTGGATGTGAATTACCTGAATGTAAAAGATGTCTGCATGCTGATTTATATTTACGAATGATGTCCTTGTACCGATGACAAACTTTAGTAAATGTTTTGAGTAGTTTTCAGTAAAACAGATATTTCTTTCGTTAAAATCAAAAACGTTGTTGTATATACGAGCGAATCGAACAAGTTGAGATATATAAACACCATAAGATGGTACCTAAAAATTGATAATTAACAATAGGAAATTATTAATCATCTCTTTAATCGTAAATTTTGGTATCAAGCTTCCCACCAAAGATATTATTATCATGGTCCGTTCATTTTTCGTTTTGGTTTTTGAGAAATCATAAAACGAAAAACGAAAACACCTTCGTTTTTCGTTTTTTCTTTGATGAAATTAAAAACGACAATGAGTAAAATACTTTCGTTTTTCTATTTTTTGTTTTTTTTTTAAACTCAAAACGAAAAAACGAACGGACTATGGGAACACTTTGACGACCTTGCCACTTTATCTCTTTTCCTCTTACGTGTGTTTGCGCTTTTGATTTTGCCATTTGATAAGGGACTTTCCGTTTTGAATTTTCCTTGATTTCGTTATTTTTTTTTTTACTTTTAGATATTTGTCTTAAATGCAACGGGTATCAAGTACAAAACAAGTTATTTAAATATATGGCGACGTATCTTTACAAAAGGAAATATATGCAGCTGAAATGAGGCTATTGTAAACCATGCCATTTTATCACTTACCCTATTTGTACAAACGTTTCTTCCAATTTTGAAAATAAGCAATTCTAAACAAGAATAAATCAATAGTTTTACTGAATGAACAATCTCGTGAATGTTGTCTATCAAATTCACTGACAAATTACAATATAATCAAGGTGTTTAAGGTACACATTGTAAATGTCAATTATAATTCAAAGGTAAAGTGCATAAGATCATAATTTTAAATTGTTTTCTGTCTTGTGTTGAATTTTGAGTTGAAATATCATTGTCTGATTAATTCTTGGTATGATGAAAACATGGAATAAGAGAATAACTACATTTTTTTATGTAAATATATAACTTCTATAAAATGTTTTGCTCGAAGTACAGCAAGGTCAAAGTTGAGTATTGATTTTTTTTAATTATCATTTAAAAAAAAGTATAATAAAAATACCGAACTCAAAGGTAAATTAAAAAAAGAGAAAGTCAATAAAAACTGCCAAATCAAAATGTTATCAACCAACGGAACGAGAGAAACAGATCTGTCATATACATGACTTGTTAAAGGTGTTCTCTGAAAAAAATAGTGGGTTAAACCTAGTTTTCTATCCAGCTTAACCCTCTATTGCATGACATTTGTTTATAGTTACGTTATATTGACAAAATGGGGCGAGCGACTCAAATAGACATAATAGGTTAATGTGACTTTGATTTGGATATACAGCAGCCAAAACTATAAAAATATACACCACAGACATACAACACAACTGACTAAAAGATTCAAACAAACCTACAAATAAATTTAACAAAGTCGGCAACAAAAAGGTAGATGTAGTTTATTGTAAAGTTAGGATTTAAAACTAAAGGTATTCAGTTAACAATTAATATTCAATTATGTTTCTCTGTTTTGAAGCAGTTGGTTAATACTATATATTACTTCCATATTACCTCTTATGCCATTTAGGATAACATATAGTCTTAAAACAATCAGATGTCATTAACATGCATCAAACAATATAGAAGTTATGAAAAATTAAACAAAAAAGTCAATACATGTAGCTGCCATCAGCATCAATTTGTGAAGTAACAGGCACATTACAATAGGACATCAGACAATCTACATCTCTTAAAAAACAATCAACCATTAACAAAGTAAAACATCTTTAGACAACTGTTACCTACATTTGTTCCCTCTTAAGGCACTTTGGAATGTTGATCTGATATTTCATTGCTGTTAAAATTAATACGTTATTTGCTGTAAAGTTATTTTTAAATTGACTTATTGTCTTTGTTGGTTTAAGTAATTCTTCCTTAATTATCGACACATTCAATGTACTTGTATGATAATATATTAGATTATTAATTATTAATCCTAATCTATTTATTCAACTTTGGCATTAAAAACCTTTTTCCTGGTCATTACTGTTTTTTTAAATTTCGATCATATAGACTCTTTTAAAACAAATTTATAAAAATGGGGCGTGAGTCACCTCTGATATGAACCGTTCAAATTAAATTGCAAGATTTATCTATTTATTGCGCATTTTTTTCATAAGATCTTTTTTAAAACCAGTTAATAAGACGAGGGCCAGACTTTCGGCTGTTAAAACATAATAAACACCACCAAGTATTTTATGTTTCAAAGATTATTGCCAAGTATTAAAATGGTTACTATACATAAACATGATCAAATTGAATCGAACTTATATTTTTTTAAGTTAATTTATTTTTTAATCTTACTTCTATTTCCTTTATTTCCTTTTTATTCGTTGTCATTTTTTCTTTCTAATTTCTTTTTTTTAATAGATAGAACTTCGTTTGTCTATATTAAATGTATTTAGAACTATTTGATTATGTGCGATTTGTGGTATGATAAACATAACTAATAAACGAAAAGGTACAAAATCCTTCTACTTTTATCCCTCTTCTCCTGTTTTCCTTTATATGAACAAGTAAATATTTGTTGATTTACCGATTTTTGAGATTGATTCGTGTCTATGAATCTATTGCTTTCCCAAACTACCGCTGAGTTTACCAAGGATTTTATACTAAACAAATCCTTGAGTATACCAAAAGACTGTTTGTCCAGTATAGGGGTCAAATATAATTGCATAAGTGTGTTTCTAATTTGGGTAATTCGTGTCTAGTCCTGTGATAAGCTTCTGTAACAATGTCTTGTCAAATCTATAAAAGGTAGAAGTCACTTATCGTTCATCAGTTCATGTGCCTAATCAATAAGGTAAGGATGATTTTAGACTGGAACCCGGTCGTTGTGTTGATATTTGTATTCCGAAGGTATACTGAACATTTTTCTAAGGGAACCGTCGTTGTTTGACAATATTAATATTTGTATTCCGAAGGTATACTGAATATTTTTCTAAGTGAACCGTTGTTGTGTGACAGTTTGATATTTGTATTCCGAAGATATACTGAATATTTTTCTAAGAAAACCGTCGTTGTGTGACAGTTTGATATTTGTATATTCCGAAGGTATACTGAACATTTGTCTAAGGGAACCGACCTATGCTGACTTGTTATCGAAGACATATAACACAGTACTGTACTGCTTACATTTATTTATTTCGATTTTTGAACAGTGGGCAAACATGTGAGATAAATTATTGCGATTTCAACAAATTATGCATGCAAAATATCTTCTTAATTTTCAAACCCGACTTTTTATTTTTGCAAAACATTTCTGTCGCAATTTGGCCATGATAAAATCACCACAAAACATACTAAATTAACAAAAAATCCTTTTTCTAGGTAACTTGAAATCCCAAACTTTGTAATTCTACCATGAAGAAAAAAAAATTATTACGGAGCAATATCTCAATTACCTATATAGAAAATATACAAAGTAACTAAGCCATCCACAGTAGTCAAGTTATTGTGTTTTTTTATGACAAAAATGGTAGACGGACGGAATAGAGCTAATAGTCTCAGGTCGCCTCAAATCACCTTTGTCCATTTGATAGAGAGTTGAAAATTTAGTTAACATTCTTGTACAGCTCAGATCTTTAGAAACGAATGTATTTATTATGTTAAAAAAAATGTTTTTAATATAAACATGCTTTTTGTCCAATTCAGGTATCAAAATGAAGTGTCTGTTTATAGTAGCCGTTTTGTTGCCTTTTGTTTTTGGAGCCCTCCAAGAAAGATTTTTGAGTATGTATAATTTATTATAGACGCAAAAATAAACTAAATAACTACTACCAGTGCTGATATGCATAACACTGCTTAAGTTAAGATATCCGATCGTAGTACTAATTTATTGTAGGACATGTAGAAAAATCTGTTCGTTCAGAACAAATCTTATTATTACAAAAGTAGTTTTTAGCATATCAACCCTTTACTTTAACAACCGATAATGAAATTCAGAATTAGATTTATAATATATTTCATTATTTTATGTTGGAAAGTCTTGCAAAATATGTAAAACTGCGGTAAATGATGTGATGCAATATTGGAAATATTTCAAGAAACTTTATACTTTTAGTGTCAATAACATAGGCCGATTAGTTCATGGCAGTTTTGTCATTAGAGACAAAGCGCCAGTTGTTAAATTTATTATTGATAAACTGGTCAGTGATCAAAATACTTGTATGAGGCCAAAACAATAAAATATAAAATTGAGAATGGAAATGGGGAATATGTCAAAGAGACAACAACCCGACCAAAGAGCAGACAACAGCCGAAGGCCACCAATGGGTCTTCAATGCAGCGAGAAAATCCCGCACCCAGAGGTGGTCCTCCGCTGTCCCCTAAATAAAATTGTGTGCTAGTTCAGTGAAAATGGACGTCACACTAAACTCCAAAACATATAAATAAACTAAAATTAAAAAAACATACAAGACTAACAAAGGCCAGAGGCTCCTAACTTGGGACAGGCGCACAAATGCGGCGGGGTTAAACATGTTTTGTGAGATCTCCACCCTCCTCCTATACTTCTAGTCAATGTAGAAAAAAGAAACACATAGCAATACGTATAGTAAAACTCAGTTTAAAAGAAGACCGAGTCCGATGTCAGAATAGGTAACAAAAGATACTAAGCAAAATGACAATGATACATAAATTAACAAAGGAGAACTAGCAGCTACTAACATGGCAGCTCCAAACCTCAATTAAACTGATTGAAAGATTAGGTCTTCATCATATGAAAATCAAGTACAATCCCTCCCTTTAGGAATTTAGTATCATACCATCATAAAATGTATGAGAAGAACATAACCCGTATCATGCCAACAACTGGATTTTGAATAAATGTGTTTTTTTCCGATGCAAAGACCCTATGAGTGAATAAATATTAATACCAAAATATGCAATCCTTAATGACTTGACAACAGTATCGTAACTATATCATTTACGAATAAGTCTGTTAAATATGTTTGTTTCCCCTCCCCCACCCGGGTCAAAAATAATCCCCCGGGTCAAAAAATTATTTTCCACCACAAAATCGAAATTATTTTTATTCCCGAAAATAATTTGTTTCCATGTTTGAAAAGTGCTTGAAAGCAATAGGATTGATAATCTAAATAAATACATTCAAATTGAGCACAAACAACTGATAAGTGACCTCGACTGGACAAGTTCATGTGACCATGCTATGACATCAAGTTAAAAAAAAAAACAAAAAACAAAAAACAACCCTGCCTTCCTTGTCTGTTTACAAAGGGTAGACCCGGGGGAGGGGAAACAGACATTCTTTTAAATGTGGCCTGAGTTAGTCAACGTCTTTGCGTACTTATTTGTCCTTAGAATTTCGAAAAAAGACATGCATACGACTTAAGAAGATGTCGGTTATACGTCAATGAGACAACAACCCAACGATAAAGATAACCAAAAGGATATTTAGAGGGCAATATTTATGTTTCAAAATATAAAGATGTTAATACGATATTTCATCAAATTCCTTGTACGTATTTGATAAAATTGATTATGTAGAAAAGAAAAAAAGTCCAAGAAATGGACTGAACATACGACGGCTTAAGTAAGCAATCGAAACAAAAACTAATTAGTTCACTTTTTTGCAACTACTACTCTTGTGAAGGGGTCTGGATGGGAGTGGGCAAAAACTGCAGAATGTAGGGCCAAAAAAAATTGAAGAAAAGTAAAGAACAAATGGCAAAAATAGAAAAGAAAAAAGTATATAATAGAAAAATGGGCATGATGGGGTGCTGAAATGTAAACTGTAAAAAATAAGGTCAAATGGGGATAATAAAAATAATAAAAATAGAAAAAAAATTCATGAAAACTTCAGAGTACAGAAATGAAAGTTGCCAGATCCAGACCCATATTTATCATGTATCTCATTGCAGCTGATAACAATCAACCAGACTTAGACCAAGTCATACAGTTAGTTCGAGGGTTCGCTCATTCTGATATGGGACAAACAGCTTGTGTAATAGCTTGTGGAACAGCGGTTTCTTCAACAGGAGCCGGGGCTCTATTGACTCTTCTGTGTCCTGCCGCCTGTGAAGCGTGAGTATAAATTATAAAAACACATTCATTGCTCTATTGACTCCTTTGTGCCCTGTCGCCTTTGAAGCGTGAGTATACATTATAAAAACACATTCATTGCTCTATTGACTCCTTTGTGCCCTGCCGCCTTTGAAACGTTAGTATAAATTATAATAAAACACATTATTCAAAACTAGTGTAATAGCTTGATGAACAGCGGTTTCTTCAACAGGAATCGGGGCTCTATTGACTCATTTGTGCCCTGCCGTCTGTGAAGCGTGATTATACATTATAAAAACACATTCATTATACAATACGAGTGTAATATATACAGCTAATTGAACTCGGATTGTTTGGTTTCGATCTTGCAAAAGTACTATGAACCAAAGTTCAAATGAGGTGGATGTTAGCAATTAAAGTCAACCATACGGCCTCCATCAATTAATGAACAAATACTGTATAGTCTGTTATAAAGGGTCCCGACAGGAAAAATATGCAACAATTCAATTGAAAAACAAACATGACAGACATGAACCAATGACAAGTATGCTCTCGCGACAGTCTGAATTCAAACTGTTCAGTTTCGTAGGAATACTTATTTAGAAATACGCAAAGAAGTGTTAAAGATGATGATTCAAAAAAAAAAAAAAAAACACCCCGCAATTTACCAAACATCTTATTGATTTACTATAATATATCAATACATATTTTTTCCTCTTTTTCAGAGTTCTCAAACAAGTGAAATAGACATTAGAACAAATTTAATTGGAAATTATTTATGAATAAAAGCTGAATTATATAATGTGTTGTGGTTTGTGAGAGATCAATTGCCTTATATTAAATTAACATGACGTTTATGTTTTAGTTGAATATTATATGCATTATATACGGTACCAATTTTATTGCACCAAATTAAGCTGATGTTCATTTGTGTCTTTTGACGCGATTCTCGCTGCAAACATATTCAGCAACACGATAGTTTGTTAAGTTGTTAAGGATGTTTGCTCCTCTTGTTTCTGGATTTCTGCCAGATTTTCGGAATCCTCTGGTTTTATCCATGTATTGCCATTAAAAAAATTTGCCCACTAACCTCTACTTTTCTTTTCATAATTTTATTACATATAGTTTAAAAAGCCATATTTTAAAATCTTATAAAATCCTTGTTATTTTTTCATAGTTTATGAAACAAAAAAGCGGCCAATGTTAAAAGTATGAAAAATCTAGAGAGAATCATTTCCAGCCAAATTTTCAATGGCTTTTATCTTGAAAAAAAGCACACGGATCCTTCATTTTTTTCTGCTTTTTTAGTTTCTTTATTTATATACTATCATTTTAGAACAGTCTTTTAAAAATCTTGTTATTTTGAAACAGAGTAGCGAACATCCTTAAATGGATTTAGTCACTTATGTGAAAATTGAATCTACACAATTGTAACTTTTATCTTAATTCAGTATTAAAAAAATATTTAATTTTCTAAGTAACCATAATTGTCCTTAATGATTGTTACATTGAATGGACTCGTATGCTCTCTCGTGTCTTTACTATATCGTTGTCCCAGTCACTTACATCTAACCAATATCGAATTTCATTGTGTTCGTGAATTATTTATCAGACAGTGATTGTTCTCTCTCACGGAAGTCACCGTAGTGGGAACATACAAGCCTTTGCATGTTTATAATAGTAATATCAGTTTTGATCAAACGATCGAAAATAAAACGCATACTACGAGATTCTAGTGCACATGATACGAGTCTCCGGGGAAACACACATGCTAGCGATTCTAGTTCACAGGACATAATCATATATTATAAATCGTAATAAAACGGTAGATGAGAACCATAGTAAAGAAACATTGAAAAAAAATATAAGTGTTCAGTTAAAAAAATAACCCCTCAAAAAATAAACAAAACATTTTTGCACTATTATTGAGTGATTTAAATGGAAATGTTTACATTATAGCATTGTACAAGATCTTGTCTTCGTGTACTATGTACATGGAATAATTTATGAAGTTGATTGATTGTTGTTTGCTTTACGCCCAGTGGCAAATATTCCATGCATGGTTGTGACGAGAACACATAAATTTTAGATTCAATAGGTAGGTCTTGCAATAGGAGGTCGACAGTCAGGTTGGAGGTGAAACTTGGAATACCACTGGAAAATGAGGGTATATTGAATAAGGACAGAAATATTAGTAGCTGTGAGAATTCTGTGAAACTGTATTGTTTATTGTACTTGAGTTTTTGGTATGATGTTCTATACTACCGCTCTCCTGGTTGGTCTCGTGGGCGTGTGTTCGCCTCGAGAGCGGGAGGTAGTTGGTTCGAATCCCGACCAGGTTAAACAAAGACTTTAAAACTGGTATTTTCCCTTTCAACGCTAAACAAGCGGCATTTATGAGTAAAAGCATAGACTGGTCGGCTCGGAGTCAGAAATGTTTTCGGGTAGGATGAATTTTCTTCCTGCGAACGGTCAGCTTGTGAACTTGCAGGTTAAAAATCCGGCTCAGCCTGTCGGTCTAGTACATGTACAAAGCAGGGTTACTATTCATATTATATTTACATGTTTTCGTCTTGAATATGCATTTAATTTGCCACTGGACGTTATCCATTATCATCATTTATTTTACCGTTACAGTGAAGTGTTTTTCTTCTACTGGTTTATATTACACCTTCTTTAATTTCCACCGATCGAAATTAAAAAAAGGCAGGTGATATTTTTCAACAAGCACTTGTGCCTGTTGGGATATACTTGACAGTAAATAATATTAAATCAATTGTGGCGGTTAGGATATCTTTGACGGTAATAAATATTAAATCAAATGTGCCTGTTTGGGATATTAACTTCGTATTTTTTTGTCATGGTGCGGTTTTGAGCTTATTATTCTATGTAGGCATGCATCTTTCTAATTACAAAAGACTATATGTTGACTCTTAATGTTTGATTTGTCAGTGTCGTTGGGTTGTTGTCGCATTAATGTATACCTTTATCTCCTTTTATTCAAAACCAAAGGATTGGCTTTGGAATAGAAATATTGACATATATGGACTTCTTCCGTCCGACAGTATACCCTTGCTAAAGGGGTGCGTCCGTTTGGCTATTCGAATGAATAAATACGCAAATAGCAAAACCGATAAGTAAAACAATATCTAAAAAATAAATGAAACGGCCAAAATAAGTTGAATACTTATATAAATTGTTGCCAACATTTGTTTTTACCCATTTTTGCTTTTGTGACAACTATACCAGATATAAAAAAAAATTGACACAGCAAATTTTGTCACATAGACGAGACTACCGTCGTTGTACGCTTCAATATATGAGTTATAGACACTCATTGAAGATTTTTGTTTTGTTCACTACCCTCCTCCTAGTTTGGCTGGATAGGATAAAATGTAACCCCTGGTGTGTACTACGTTATTTAATGTTAAATAAAAATAAAAGCAAAGAGAAATGAGGAATGAAATGCTAAAACTTACGCTTAAAAAATCAAATTTAAATAAAAATTAAATATATAAAAATTGGAAAACTGTTTGAGATAATTATCAACTGAAGACTAATGGTTATACATCACTAAATGAAGCTGATTAATTGATTGCTCCCTTAATGTCCAGTGGCAAATATGTCATGCATATTCACGACCTGAAGCAATTGATAACAATTTTAGAGTGACACTTTAATAAGATAGAGCGTTGGTTACAGGTAAAACGTATGCCGTACTAGAATACAGTTGAACCATGATCAAAATCGGAAGTTAAGCTATTAGGCCCTCCCTCTTTTTTCTCTACGGTAGACGAATGCCTAAAACAAAACAACATGTATTCACAACCAATAACGGCTACTATAAGTAAATGAGATATGGACTTATTTTGTAAATAAATTCCTATTGCATCCAACATTTCCCGGTTTCGGACAGGTTTGTATTTTCACTCAAATACCGTCTGATTATTGACCGGAGATTATAAATCAACCAAAAGCACTTTGATTCCCTGAAATTGTAAATTATGGTATTTCGCTGGCTGTTTTTCCCGATCCTATTTTGGACCCCCTGATTCTAAGAGGGCGTGTCTAGTTAGTCATGCTCGATTAACTTTTATTAAATTGAACCTCAACTGTTAAAGACCTACACCGGGTTAATAAGTTCGAGGTACAATAAGTAAACAAAAGAGATCCTTTATGAAATGAAATCGTCCCAGGTATCTTAGATAATTATTTTGCGTTGAATAACAATGAAAAATGCACGAACAGGTTTTTAAGGAAACATAATTAATACTTGTGACTAATGCAATTGATTTAGAATATAGCAAAGTGCTGTCGACCAATGAAAGTGTAGAATTTGGTGTTTCTTAATTGTGAAGAATGAATGTAAATCATGTTCTTAGTAAGGGATTATCCTTTTGTTTAGGCCTATTTACAGTTCAAAACAAAGAATTTCTATAAAATGAGTTACAACTGCCTGAAGCACATTTATAAGGATTATTGATTGAAAGTTGAATTTTGAAACAAGCAAAAATGATCAAAATAAGTTTGAAGTTTACTTGTGCAGTACAATTGATACGGTTTGTGTTATTATGTGAATATCTTTAATTTCAAATTACAAAAAAAAAAAATAATATCAAGAAGAGAAACAAAAACAATAACAAAAACTTTTAAAAATTAAAATTTAATATAACCTAAATATTTAACTACATTATCTATCATGTTGTCTATAGCAATGTCATTAAAAGATTTATAAGTATTTTTTTATTATTTTAACAGTATATGAAAGTTGTTTCCATCTTCTTGGTTTTGCAGATTAAACATGTTTTTTGATTCAAGGTAGATTGAGACATCTGCCCTTTTCTGTAGTAAGTTATGATCACTGAATCTTTTGTGCGTGTAAATTAACATAGTTTCAAAATTTTGGATATCTTCGATAGAATTTCTTGGTCTTATTCGAATCTAATGCTTTCGTCAAGAAAAAGTTTGTCATTTTTATTTGAACTGTTCATTTTATTTTCCAGTAGTTCTAAATAAACGTTGGTTGAAATATTCTTAATCCAAGTCTTTAGAGGTTTTTGTTACTTCTTTCATATTTTGACAGAAACTATTTTTGTATGTTTAATATTCATTTCTTGCGTATAGAATCTTTGATATAAATTCTTTGTGAGTCAAGGAGTTTACTTAATGTAAAACTTTCTTTCAGTAATGTTTTCTGTATCTTGTTGAATAAAGGATTGTTTGCCGTTTTTATATATTTTCTATTAGCTGTTCTATCAAGTTCATCTTTAACCCCTTTTTTGTACTTAGAATATATCTAAAGAAATTAACACGAACCTTTTCAAAAGTAGTCTTGTTTTTTTTTATGGAAATTAAAGCCATCTTTGTTTTAGGATTTTAATCTGCCTTTCGCTTTATAACAAGAATGATATGTATCCATGTATGATATGTCTGCATTATATGTCAAAATTGGTTTAATAAGAGAATCAGAGAGAAAACAGGACACATTTACAGGGAAATTGGCCCAAAAAGCTGCATGAGTTTTTATTGAACAAGAGCTTTCTTAGCTTTTTGGTCTAAATCTGTTAAGCTTGCACTCAGATTTCCATTATTCTTTCTAAAGGTGCATTAACATTCATGTAATGTTTTCCATTATACAATGTATGGATCCAATTTTGTAGTTTTTTGCTGGACAGTCATTATTTAACTTAGTCTTAGTCTGAAGATCCTACTGCATTCGGTTAAAATGATAAGATTATCAGCAAACGAAAGAAATATTCACATGGGTTTTGAATCTTCATTGTCAACATTTTTAACCATATC